GCCGCCGCCGCTGAAGCCCTGACACCGCCACAGCTGCGGAGGGGCCGGGGAAGTCCCAAACCCAAGCCAGTGTAAAAATGCCTTTTTTTAATTCTAGGGGGTGGCCGGACAGGATTTCTCGCGCAGGGTAAAAAAAGTGAAGTAAGTGAAGCACAATGAAGAAAGTGAGAGGGTGCGAGGGGGAGGGAGAAAGATTAGGTTTCCAAGAGAAATAAGAGACGGAGCCAAATAGCACTTTTTAGGGAGAGGTAGGAGAGGCTCCAAAAGGTGAAGAAGAAAAAAAAGAAGAACGCAATCGCAAAGTTATAATGGCAGGGCGACGTGTTCGCCATTAGCTTCATAATCAAATCTGAATATTCGGGACTTTGCTTCCTTGGGCTCTTGAGTCCCCTAATAAGTACACAAGTCCTACATCAAGGGTTCTCATTACTTCTTTAATCAGAGGTTTTAAGCACGCGAGAACTGGAAACAGAAATCTCTATAGAGCTTTATGCTTTCATTTTACACTATATAAGGAGAATGCAAATATAGGCAACTAATGTTAAGGCAAATAAACAACTTCAGACGCTTACTGAAATGGTTCAAAAAGTTTCTGTGCAGAGTTATCAAATAACTATGGCTGTACGATACCATCCTTTGTAAAAATTTATAACTTTTCAGTTAAAGGAAGCTTCAGTGCAAAGCTTCTCAGTGAAATAATTATGGAAGAAAGTGTAAGCAGTTATTACCTCTCAATATTAATGATTGAATTCTTGTTCGTATTGTATCTTTTCCAAACGTGCGTTTGACCTACATGTGGTACAAAAGCACAACTTAAATCAATGCCAGCAAGTTTGCCCAAAGCTTATAACATCAAGTGAAAAAATAGAATGCTTTAAATATATGAAAACAGTAAACCATTTAACTCATAAAAACATCTGGAGCCAACACAGTTTGGAACATCATTTATATTTTCATGTATGGGCTAATATTTGCATTCGCTTTGTGTTTTTCGGTTTTGGCGGTGGTTTTTTTTTTTTTTTTTTTAACTTACAATTTACGGGGAAAGAGATCATATAAAATTGACCTGAACGAACCAGTGTACAATTCCTCCTCTTCAGGACTCTTGTAGTCTTGCTCAGTTTTTTACGTTGGAGGCTGAAAGCACCATCTTCCTGAATATTTATCAGAATGTAAGTAGGATTCTTGAAGAGTTCTTTCTAGTGTGCGGTTTGCATATTTGCAATATGCATATTACAGCAAAATCAGACAGATAGTCATACTTGGGGACCACTGTTTGAGTGGTATAAATTGTCATACCTTCGTTGAAGTCAGCAAAAAGATGGCAATTTACGCCATTTAAGAATATTCTCCTTACTGTCAAAGAGAAAGCTTACAAATATGAATTCAGTTTATTTTAGCCAAAGATTTTATTGTACTCAAGAGCCTACCAAAGCAAGAGGACGAGGTTTTATTGTACTGTAATTATGATCAGTTCGTATTTTTCCATGGCAATTTGGTGAAGGCAGGCATCATTATTTAACCTTAGAGTCAATCCAGATTCACAACAGATGTATGTTTATTTTCAGTCTTTTCCTTTTTCCCTATATTTTGCCTGTTTAATTCCCATAGAAGCAATATAATTCGTTTCTCTTGATACCTGTGCTGCAATGGAAACCTACAGATATAAGCAATAATAAAGCCTGGGGATTATGCATCATTTCAGAGATGCTTGAATGCCTTAACTGAAAATCCTTGCACAGAAAATGAATAATTTGTTGACTGACTTGTCAAAAATACTGAATCCCCCACTATGACGATAATCACATTTACCATTCATAAACCTATGGTATACCAGTATCTACACTACACTTCTCCATAAAAACATTTTTTTTGGTGAGAAATTACACCACCACAACGCGTACCACATAACTTTAACATTGCATTTCTGTGGTGTACTTCCATTTCACTCTTTTTAACGTTTACATGTGCCATGGTTTAACACTTATCAGACAATTTTTGCTTTAAAGACTACAACATATCTATAAAAACTTTAAGCTTGAATCCATATTTTCAGCTACTTCTCCCGTATACATATGGATTCTGTTCTAATTTTCATGATCTCCAAGTATTACAAATTTTAAAGCTATGCCAGCAACTTAGTATATTACATAAAAGTTGTGCTGAACTATGAGGCCCTCACTGAAAATGATTTACAAGTTTGCATTACATCATTAAAAGTTATTTGAATTGCCAGCCCACTCTAACCAGTAAAATATCTTATGCTTCCTATTTAATTTAAATAAAACGATGAAATATTAAAACGGCTAATGTACTTGAGGCTTCACACCTGAACTATGATGTTTCGGGAATGCTTTTAGAGTTTAAGCTATGGGAAACTTTCATTGCACGTTACAAACTCAAAAGCCCCAGAACAAGTTCTCTTCAAAACTTTGGTGTGTGTTTGTTTCAAACAGATAATTTATTTGTAGACTGAACCATCTTGCACAATGCTATTTGTTTCCCAATCTGCGTGTTATATTGCAATTTAACAATTGTTTCATTCTTTCTAGTATTATCTCCACTTAAGAACGCTGAACTAAAAAACAGCTATGACAAGCCTTGTAGGGTACTTTAATAATACATATCTTTCATTTGTATTTAGAAATGTATTCAAAGTGCATGTGTAGGCAAGTCAATGATGCCTGAAAAATATGTTTTCCATTTTGTTTTCTCCGGATCTTAACAGCTAGACACTACACTCAGTCCATTCTCCTATTAAAATTACTAATCACAGAGAAATGAAAGGTTTGTATTTTTACATATTATTCATTTTATTATTTGATACAATTTGCATTGTGGATTTTGATCTGTGTATGTATTTGAAAGACA